CTGCAGTGTCTGTTGTAAATACATGAATCCATGCAGGGACATCAAGCTGCAGAGAATCATAGTGAGACAGACAGAAACACATATCAGTAGGTATTTTGGTTAAATGTTTGTGACTGAAAATGTCAGGGGGGAAAAAAATTAGGCTTTTTGCCTCAGTATTTTTCATGGCTTAAGTTACTGAATGCAGGGCTGGAAAGTGAGACTGAGTTAACAGTGAGGAGCTAAGCTTAGATGTGAAAAGTATCATTTTTATTTATTTTGTAGATCAAACTGTTGCACTGATGTAGAGAGTTGTTCTCTCTACATTGTTCAGTTTGTTGGTCAAACTGATATATTGAATTTAAAACTGCTGAGCTGTTTTTTTATGTTGGTTTTAGAAAGAGGCAAACCAGTTCAATTGCCAGTCAACTTATATCATTGCATTTTGACCAATCAAATATATCAGAATCTTGTAGCCTGTATGTGCTACCAGAGTATTTAGCTTGTTAGCTGTAAGGCAAATGCTAAAGTGAGTGTTCATCCTAGAATGACAGTCATTATGCTACGAGGATGCATAACTTTAATCTGATTGTAAATAGTAATGTGTTAGAATACTTGTTACTGAAACTAGGGGCCAGATTAGATTAACGCGTTACTGACGTGTATGACATTTCTGCTCAAGCTATTTACTGATATGTCAGGTTTCCGATATGCAACACGTTCCTGATGATATTTGCCTTTCATTACACTGCTGAGTGTATTATAGTCAAAATTTAGTCAGCTGAGAACTAGAAGATGTTTTTTGTAGTCACAACCAGGATTTCATCTTACACATTCAGCATCACTGGTTTTCTAATAAAACTTTATTGATTTCTTTTTTACTCTCTCTCCAACTATTTCCTCAAGGGCCCTTCTATCGAGACTGTACACTGGTGTCTAAAATGGAGGTGACTCATAATACACATGTTTTCAGACTGCAGCTTCCTGGAGGGACAGTCATGCATGTGGCTGTTGGAAAACATGTCTACCTCAAAGCTATCATTGAAGGTAGCTAACAACAAACCTGAGTGTTGGTCATGTTCACAGATGAAGATGATCTGCTTAGAGAAATCTCCATAAGTGTCACTAAATGTAAAATGTTCTGTAAAGTTTTTTTTGTTTTAAGTGAACTAATAATACATTATTATTTATATAATAAAAAAATCTAAGTCAAAGTTAAATGGCTTTGGCAAATGTGATGATTAACATAGAAATTGTGAGAATACTTGACGGCATGTACTTATATTTCCAGGTACTGAGATAGTGAGGCCATACACTCCAGTGGATCAGAATATGGTTCCAGTTTCCTCATCTTCCTCACATGAATCATACCTCTACCTCATGATTAAAGTCTATCCCGATGGAGTTTTCACCCCATATCTGAACAGCCTGCAGATGGGTATGTCACAGCCAGGTCAAACAATGAGGCGATGTGTTTGTGTGTCATCATGTCTTTACTGAATCTGCATGTGTCCTCTAATTAGATTTTAGTATATCTGAGGACATCTCAGGTCTTCCTTGAAAGCAAACATTGACTCATTATGATGAACAGTTTCTCCTAAGAGCCATTTAGAAAATCTGCTACTTGAACCACTTCCTCCTTACAATATTTGAACAGATGAAGACAGCCTCTTATATGTGAAAAGTAGGTCAACATCAAACGAAACAACAATAACAACTATTAGAAAGTTTTCCTTTCAATAGTTAATAATAACAATAATTCTACTTTTAAAAATGTTCTGTAAAGGTTTATACTTTGTTGCTGTTTGATATTTGATCCCTGTTGCCAATCAGTTTTACTTTGGGGTTTTCTGATTTCCAAGGTGAAAATATCTCCGTCAGTGGTCCAGAGGGTACTTTCAGCCTCCGCCCACTTCGTGATGTCACACACCTCTATCTGTTAGCAGGAGGCACAGGATTCACGCCAATGGTTCGCCTCATCAGCCTGGCTCTACGAGAAGTTGACACAATCAGGTGGGAACAATCAGTTTACTCCTTTACTACGTCAGAAAACATGACTGATGGATGATAATGGCCCCACAGACATGAATACGTAGACGCCTCATAGAACAGGTCGGCCCGTTGCTGCGTTATGTCACAGCGTCCGCCATATTGAATGTGGCTTATCTGCCAGTAAGCTAATGCAAGTAAATGGGCCGAACTTCACAAAGTATTTTAATACCTTTAAGTTAATACCATTGACACATTCTCTCACACACACTAACATATTTGGTAATCAAAGAAAGCACTACAGAGAGCATTTCTAACGTTGATGTAATTATTTAATTGTTTTGGGAAATTTCTGAATAAAGAGCACAATGTTTTTATTTGATAGAAATTATTCTGATAGTTTTTATATTGACATAGATGAACAGACGAACACTTTTAAAGTGTTTTATTAAAGTACATATTTACATGATTCCATAATTTAATGTACATTTAATGTAAGGTAATTTTTATATAGCACATTTTCAGCAACAAGGCAATTAAAATGCTTTACATGAGTTAAAAGGAAATACAAACAAAATAACAAACCAAAGGAAAGAAAAAAGAGGAAAGAAAACTAATCTAATGTTCTAAAGTATGTAAACTAAGTGCTCCTGTATGTAAACTAAGTGCTCACTATTTAGAAATGCCATTTCTAAATAGTGAATACTCTACAGTTTCTAATAAAATAAGCTGAAGCTAATTCCTTTTCTGGGTTAAAAGTAATATAAACTAACTGTTCCTGTTAAGTATTTCTGGATTCCAAGTTCGTAGTTATTCTAATTCTGATTCCATTTCTGGGCTGTATAATCTAAATAGTGCATACTCCACAATTTATATTACTAATGAACTAAAATAATACTTTTCTGGGTTAAATAGGGAGTACTCCACCTAAAACTAAAAAGAAAAGAGGAAAGGGCATATTAGCAATATTCAGACAAAACAATGGGCAAAACATTGTTTTGCCCGAGTGAAGGCGGTAACGTCAAGGCCATGAAGCCAGGTTGCTTCGCAACTCCCTGGATACAGGTGGGGGTGAGGAGGGAAGAG